GACACTCGCCGCCCCTAGAGGCATGCACAGTTCGGGCCGGCGAGTGGGATGCATGGAGGGTCCCTCAGGCTTTGCGTGATGACGATGCTACTTGACGCCCGTGCTAGTATGATGTGATGCTACTGGGGTTAGGGGGTGGGGGGGGGATGATACCGTGCGGTCTGACTGCTGCCCAGTGCTCCGTTTCTGCATGTCATGATGCTCATCGAAGCCAGCAGGCTGCAGCAGTGCAGTGACTTCGTGCAGTGACCTCGTCGATGCTCACGCGTGCTGCAGGGCTCCGCACACAGACGCGAACGGAGTTAGTTTGTGTTCCGTGTTTTGGAGATCAAGTTGGCAAGAACACAGGTTCTCGATGGTGCTCGGGCCGGGCGGGGCACACTCAAAAAGGTGGTCCTTTTCTCTGCGTGCTATCAGAAATCAAAGCACCAGACCTGTAATCCGGATATCTGGAACAATGCATTCAGTTATGCCTGAACACACACACACAATTCCCTGTCGACACGCAGTGAGACATGTTGGTGTTGCATTGCTGTGCCTCTCCATTAAAATGCGCCCACATGCTAAGTTTAACCGCATGCATGTCAACAAAAACATTTTTTCCAAGCCTCTTTGCAGCATAACCCCAGTGCCAGTCAAATGCGTGTCAAAACTTGCAGAACCTTCCACGGCGGCGAATGGTGAACATGCCTTGGTGTTGTTGTTGTTGCTGTAACTCTTCTTGAACTTAGTGTTGTTGTTGTTGGTGGTGGTGGTGGTGGTGGTGTGATGACGTCGGCGGTGGCGTTGGTGTTGGTGTTGGTGTTGGTGTTGTGGTTGTGGCCACGCGTGGAGACTGCTCGCGCAGCGTTCAATTGAATTGTGGTGGTTGTTGCTGGTTGTGGTGGTTGGGGTAGTGGTGGTGGTGGGGGCAGTGGTGGCGGTGGTGGCAGTGGTGGTGGTGTTGTTGTTGGTGGTGGTCGTGATGTCGCTGTTGGTATTGCTGTTGCTTTTGCTGTGGTTGCTGTGGTTGTTGTGGCTGTGGTTGTGGTTGTGGTGGTTGTTGTTCTTGTTGTTGTTACGAGTAACGGGAATAGTCCGAAAGTCGTCAATAGCTCAGCAGGAACTCAGTTAGGAGAAGAAGGAGGAGCCGCCGCTGTTTTCATGGAAAGATCGTTGGCAACAACTCCAACTGGTCACATCGGATGTCCACTGACACGGCAGCAAAAAGCTGCGGAGCATGCGAGAACACTTGACACATGCGCCGTTGAGTGCTGACGAGGACTAACTGATGAACAACCGAAACCCGCAAAAGAACGGAGCGTACGATGAGCTCTGGCAGCAGGCCCGTGCACCTTTGCAGAGCGCGTGAAAGAGCGGCTTGGCGCGAAGAGCTCTGATGCCTGAAACCAAAGCCGTGAGTGATACGGAAGTGCTATTGGCAGATTCCTGCGGTGGATCTGCATCGTCCGTCTCTCTCTCGACACCCTTATCCTGCCCTCATGCCGGTCTGCATCGCTTCTTCTTTCGTGACGTCCCATGTCTAAACGGATTCGGATGCCCAGAGACTGGCCTTTACACTGCGAGTGGACTGTGCGCCAGGAAGTGGTGATGCCTGCATACTTCAAAGTCCCAAGCAACATCGCAGCTGTTTTTGCACGTTGGCCATGTAACAATGTCTAACTTTGGGCAGGTCTGTTTTGAGGCGGTGTGCACTCGGGACTGTTTTCGGATGACGCGGTCTGCCCTGTCGCTGGACCAATCATCAAGATCAAATCCCCAAACGTTGGAACCACATCCAAATCCTGATGTCAGTCTTGAACGCTGCTACTGCTGCTCCCATGTACTACTAGTTTTTTACTACTACTACTACTACTACTACTGCTACTACTACTGCTACTACTACTAGTATTTCTACGACTACGACTACGACTGCTACGGCTGCTACGGCTGCTACGGCTGCTACTACTACTACTATACTACTACTACTACTACTGCTGCTACTAATACTTGTACTTCTACGACTACGACTGCTACGACTGCTACGGCTAATACTACTACTACTTCTACGATTACTACGACTGCTACTACTACTACTACTACTACTACTACTACTAATACTGCTACTACTACGACTGCTACGACTGCTACGACGACGACTACTACTACTACTACTACTACTACTACTTATTACTTACTATTATTATTACTACTACTACTACTACTACTACTGCTACTACTACTACTACTACTACTACTACTACTACTACTCCTTCCCCCCCCCCCCGCTACCAACCACCTGGCGCATAAGCCCTCTTCCCAGTGGAGGAGTCCCGGGTCAGCGCTTGTCGGCATCGGCTGCTTCAAGCAGCATGGCACTGATGCCCCGAAACGCCTAAACGCCGTGGTGTCTAAGATAAAAGCAGTCTAAGATAAAAGCAGTGTCGCACGTCCTTCAATCATCCATGCGTCCGAGATCGCGAACTTTATGATGCCAGATCTTATTGACAGGCCGGTAGGCATGACGGTGGACCAGGAGCTGGATCGAATGCAGTTCCATCTGGATCTTGGTGAGGTGCTTTTGCATCACCTGCATCTGGACTTCCAACTCCTTTATCTGGTATTCCAGGATGCTCATGCGATCCGTGGTCCACATGTCGCCGTATTTCCTCAGGAAGAAGGTGTTGTTGTCGTCTGACACGGCTGCAAGTTCGCGATGAGGCTTGAGCTGTGAGGATCTGTGGGTCAGGAGAAGGAGCGTTGCACTAAAAGAAAGATGAACACATTGCATGGGGCGTGCTCGATCTCTGCATCGGCGGCCGCTGCGACCGGGTCAAGTCGTAAGTAGCCATCCCCCCAGTGACCTCAGCTGAGACCCCGCGCATGATGAATGACAACTGCCTGCACCCAGTACGTAGACCAGGCAACACTGAGGCCCCGGTCATGTTCAAATATAGGAAATCTCAAGGATGCGGGTAGCAGGAAAGGATCCTGCCGCTTGACAGTTCTACGGCCCATGTGTTGCTCCTTCGGGAGGCGCAGAAACATCCACAGAGCCTGTTTCACAAAGGCATGAAGCGCCGACTGCTGATGCCACCTGAAGTGCGGTAGATCAGGTGTCGGGTTGTCGAGGCAGCTAAGGGACACTGCTGTAGCGTGGCTTCATCAAGATTGCGTAGATCACCTGTCTCATGACTGCGAGCTTGCCATTTGGCATCAAGATGTCCGGACGCGATCTTGGGAACCGAGTAGTCAATAAACTCGGCTATGTCATGTTGTGCATGGGGCCTCCGCCTTTCAGGAGGTGAAAGCCCAGGCCCCTGTAGGCGCTCAAAATCCTGCCGTTGTTTGAACGCAGGGCTGGTGGCAGCAGCTGAATGTCAGCTCTTCTTCGTGCCTCAGAAGAAGGTTTGCTGATCAACCTCATGGTTGGGTCCACGGGGGTGTGCATTGACGAAGCTGGGTGTGAGCTCTGGCCGAAAGGGCGTCGCCGTGGTCCCTGAAAGCGCTCGGGCCTGTGGCGCTTGTTCGTCCTGCGCGGGTCCTCCTCCTGCCTTGGTTCCTGCTTCATGCCCAGCTGCCCCGATGGCAGACAGTGGGCACGGGTTCGCCGTGCGATGAAGAGCAGCGCAGTCCCTGGCGGCAATAGGTGGTTGCTAGACAAAGCTTGTAACGCACTGCACTGTGCACTGAACAGTGTGCCTGCAGGGGGCTCCAACCACAGCGACAATACTTGCAGCTGCGGTTTCTAGTGAACTGGCTTTTGAAGCTTTGAAGCTGTGGCTGAGCGGAAGTGCCGCGGTATGTAAGTTGGGATGTTGCAGGTGATGGGTCTTGTTGTAGTGTACGGTGCTTGACATTCCTAGAATCAGCAATCCACATGCCGCATATCACACACCGACTGGCCAATTGAGCCTTGATGTCCCGCTGGGTAAGAAGAGACTCCCAGTTAGCTTGTTTGTCATGAACCTCGGGGCAGTGCACGAGCAGTGGCCGGTCTTTTGTCGTGTCAACTGCAGTCGCTGCAGGCGGGTGCGCTGCGGCTTGCTGGGCCTGCAGTGGTATAAAGTGGTTGTCAGGAGCCACTGGACTGGGGTGGCCCTAAGACCACAAAT